AAACTTCCAGCGTCAGTCTCAGCCCCCTCTGACTTGACCTAGCAGTGGTGTTTGGGATTCCATCTCTCCGTTGTCTACTTAGAAAGGTCTCTCACAGTCCTTATCTATCATTGTGAAATTCAAAACGCTCTGAGAACCAAAATTGTTTTAATAACTCATGATTGCAAAACCTGACCTGAACACTGCAGAGTCTTTATTTATCCTGCGCAGTGGGAGTGCTGAGACATAATGAAGTAGATAAACTGATGGTTTGATACCAGAGTGAAGCCCCAACCTCCCCCCTCCCAGGGTTATGTAATATGGAGCCTAGAGAAAGAGCACATCCTGCCCCAAGGGTTTTGGAAAAACAGTTGTGGACCTGGAAAAAATTCCAAGTTTACATTTGGGTGGAAGTACTTTTTTTGGCAGGGGGAGTACTTTTTTAGTAAATACACATATTTTGATCATATGTTGACCTTTTAAAAATAATCATGATTTATAGGAATAAAAATAAGCATTTTCTTTTTCTTATCCATAGAAAATAACATTTTCAAGATAGGATATATATTATTTTTGCATGAAATATTTACTTTCTAACCATCCTAATTATGTTTAGGTCCATAGTAAGTAGGCAGAAGCCACTGTCAGAATGTACATACAATATCTGTTTTAAAAGTGTTTTGAGAATTATTTATTTACTTGGAGAAAATTGCCTTAAAACTATAACTATCTTTTTTATATGAATACACATGGTATAACAGTATATTCTGTTAAGCATAGACTATCATAAATTTTTTTTTACCTTTTGTTAAATGTACAATATTAAATGTAAAATTATGAAAGAGAATTTACTTAACTGATGTATTCAATAGACATAAATAGAGCTCTTTGCTAGGCACTGTTCTATATTTATCAACTCTTTTTAATTGTTAAACCAGTGGAAGGAGTGGTTGTAGGAGGTACTACTATAATGTTTATTATAGATTAAGAAACTAAGGAAAAGAATGGATAAGTAACGTGTCCCAAATTATTCATCTTGTAAATGATTATGTTCAATTGTTATTCAAAGAAATAGATATTCCTTCTCCAAATAAAAAGCAAATGGGATTAATACATGAATATCATTATTCATTTTTAGATAATTTGATTTAAATAAAATAATCTAGGTTTTAATTCTAATTTAGTATGTTAGGTCTGTTAGCTAAGAAATCTCATTTAATATTTTGTTTGTTTTGTTTTACTTACTAAAGTTGGTCAAGAAAGTCTTTAAAATTGTTACATTCTCAGTTTAAAAGACATACAATGAAATGACTGTAGAAGATAGATGCCATGGCAAGAAACTGGGCCAAAATAAACTGCTTCTATCAATTTGCAAGTGAATACTTATGTTTTATCTCTACTATTTAGAGTAAAAATATTTGTCTTCAATTATTTGGAATTATGCTGATAGTATCTAAAATAAAAAAAATTTTTTTAAAATGGATGCTGTTCTCAGCAACAATCCCGTTTATGTTGGAGACCCAATTTGGGATAGAAGATAAAACTAAAATTATTACACATTGTATGCCTGTATCAAAACGTCACATGTATCCTATAAATATGTGCCACTATTATGCACCCATAACAATTGAAAACTAAAATAGCTGATTTTTAAAAAAAAAGAAGGTATAAAAACTTACAAGGAAAATATATAGTAATCTGGGTTTTATAAGAAGAGTCTAGAAGGCTGGGTGCAGTGGCTCACACCTGTAATCCCAGCACTCTGGGAGGCCGAGGAGGGAAGAGTCTTTGAGTTCAGGAATTGGAGCCCAGTCTGAGCAAGAGCAGGACCCCATCTCCACTAAAAATAGAAAAATTATCCAGATGTTGTTGCAGGTACCTGTAGTCCCAGCTACTTGGAAGGCTGAGATAGGAAGATCTCTTGAGTCCAGGAGTTTGAGGTTGCTGAACTAAGCTGAGGCCATGGCACTCTAGCCTGGGCAACAGAATGAGACTCTGTCTCAAAAAAAAGAAAGAAGTCTACAGAGGGGAGGCAGTCCTTAAGGATACAGAAAAGAAAAAGCATATCTGGCAGGGGGGGACATAGACAGGAAATAGAACCTTTAGGAATGGACCTGTGTTAGCTTCCCAATTAAAGGAAACGTGTATTTTATACTGATAGGAAAAAAAAATCTGCATATTTGCCATTCTGTACTTCCTCCTTCCTCACTGCATCATCTCAGGAGGTATATGATGTCAGTTTGTCTCATTATTGGTGATACTAAGTTTGCTCATTTGATTAAGGTGATGGCTACCAAATTTCTCCAGGGTTAAGGTATAATTAGCCTTTTTCATCTGTCAGTTTGTTTTGGAAAAGATAATATAGACTCATCTGTGCCCCCCCCCCCCACTAAATACTGCTGTAAACCCCGAAATAAAGCAGGAGGCAATCAAAGGAGAGCTGTGGAAAGTGTAAAGAGGAACGTGGGTGGTTAGGGGCCTGGGGACTTGAGAACAACATGGCAGGGGGCATTAGATCCCCAACCAACAGGATGAGGCAAGCTAGGTTTGGCAAATCCCTGTTTCCAAACTAGCAGGAGAAGGTGGGTCAGGTAGATTTATTTCTTCCACTAATTGGGCAGGAGTCCTGCCAACAACACTAGGAGAACTCAGAGACACAGGGTAGAAGAATTTATCAGGAACCTTGCTGACAGTAATGGGTTAGGAAGTATGCTTGAGTGGCCACAGCAAGAATGACTACCTCGAAACGTGGCCTTGCCTGAAAATCTGTTCACATTGACCTGAGAGTCTCCTTCCCTGCTGAAAGACACCAAGGAGTTCAGTGCTTTTGACTGGACAAAAAGCCATCAATAAGAGAGCCCTCCACAGTGAAGCCTTCATGGGAAGCCTTTGTGTCCTCACAGTCGGGTACTCCCTTCCTCCACATAGAAGCCCCAGATGCACAACCTGGGAGCGCTCCTCCTGCTCCCTGAGCAACCCTGCAGGCGGCAGGAGGAGAAACCAAGCAGAGCAAAGCAGCAGTGCCAGAACTGTGACAATCAAAGTGTCATTGGAACTACAGTCCACAAAAGGAGGCCAGGGGCTCCAGTTAACTGCCTTCTACAACAAAAGACGTGAACAGCACCGAGAGACTCGTAAATGTGGCCCAAATTTGATAGGAAACAATGAAAAAAATCACCAGTTACACCAAGAACCAGGAAAATTACTACTTGAATGAGAAAACACAGTTAACTGATGCTAGATGAATTAGATGGTGGGGTTATCTAGGACAGAATTTGAAGTGACCACCACAAAAATGCTTCAGTAAGCATTTACAGATTACTGTGTGATGAATAATATGAAATGTCAGCAAAGAAATAGGAATTATAAAAAAGAATAAATGGAAATTACAGAATTGGAAAAGAGATAACAGAAATGAAAAACTGTTGGATGGGGGTGGCACCTGTTGTTCAAAAGGGTAGGGCGCCGGCCCCATATGCCACAGGTGGTGGGTTCAAACCCAGCCCTGGCCAAAAACTGCAAAAAAAAAACAAAAAACAAAAAACAAAAAAAACAACAAAAAAAACAACAAAAACTGTTGAATGAACTCAATAGTAAAATAGAGCTGACAGAGCATAGGATTGTTAAATGTATGGATGGGTCCATAGAACTTACCCATTCTCAACAACACTGAGAAAATATGCTGAAAAACACAAGACACAGCCTCAGGGATCTGTGGGAAAATAACAAATGATCTGACATTCCAGGAAGAGAGAAAAAAGTGAGTGGGTTGAATAAGAATTAGAAGGAATAACAGTTGGAAACTTCCTGAATTTTGGTGTAAGAAATAACCAGCAGATTTAAGAAGCTGATTAAACACCAGATAGGATAAACTGAAGGAATTTTACCCCAAGGCATATCATAAATAAACTTCTGGAAACTAACAGCAAGGAAGAAATCGTGAAAGCAGCCCGAGATAAATAACAAATGACCTGTGGGGGAACACAAATTCAGAAATGACTGTGGACTTCTCACCTGAAAATATGGAGTCCAGAAGGAAGGAAGCAATCAAAGGAAAACAGTGTCGACCACAAATTCTATACCCAGTGAAATTACATTTCCAGAATGAACAGGTAATAAAGACATTCTTAAAATCGGAAATTGGAAGAAAGGGTTGCTAACAGGAGTATCCTTGAAGACTAGTAAGAAGGAGTTTCTTCCAACAAAAAGGAAACGATAAAAGATGGAATCTCGGAATATCAGGAAGGAAGAAAGGAAAGCAGAAAGAGCAAAAATATGAGTATACACAGTGGACTATGTTCGTGAACTTTAGAAATGTTATTGTTAAAACAAAAATGCCATCTGATACTGGAATAATAACATTCAAAAGTAGAGAAGGTAAAGATAACTGTAAAAAAAGTAAGTCTTCTCTGTACCACACTCCACTCACAGTGGTAAATGTTGACGCGAGTGCCACTGTCTCCTCACTGCCACATGTCACACACACACACTGTAATGCAGAAAGCAGTCTGTAGGAAACCCACACAAAGAGATGAACACAAATATGAACGTAAATATGGCAAGATAATTCAACAGGAAGAGAACAGTCCTTTTAACAAATGGTGCTGGATAACTGTACAAGAAATTAAAGTTGGCTTTTTAAAAAAGTCTTAGTATGTTAAAACCTTTATCCCATATAATGAAGTTTTTTTGATGTACATTGACTTTGTAAATCAGGAACTAATAATCCAAGCTTCCTATTTTCTGGCTCCTCCTAAGAAATCAGAACATCCCTTAGCAGTGGGTTTTAATTCCCACGTGGCAGCATTTGTCAGGAGTGGATTAACGCCTCCTCTCTTAAATGGGGAGTACTTTTCAGCTCCCCTATACCCACTTGGAAATTCGTTAGTAACAGACCAAAGGTCTGAGGAAGGCTCTGTACTTCAGTTATCCTTGGGGGAAGCTCTAGGAATGTGAATGAAATTTTGCTAGTAGATTTTCTTTTCCTATCACCGCTAATTCATATTTAAATATTTCTTCAGCTTAAAGATGGAGCCTAAGACTAAAGGATTAAAACAGCAGCAACAGCAGCATAAGAAACTCCTGGCGGCAATGCTCTCTCAAGATTCTTTTGAGTCCATCCACAGCCCCACACCATCCGTAACGGAAGAAGATATTGACAATGAAGATGATGCAATGGAATTGCTGGGTAATTTTAAAAATTAATAATTTCTCTTTATCTTTTCTGGCCATGTAAACATGTGTAGTGATTAAGAGGCTTTTAAAGTTTAAATTAGTTTTGTCTTAGGGAAAAGAAACCATTTACAGCATACGTAATTTGCATTAGACTTTCATGAAGTTGCATGTAAGAACTGAGCTGAAATAACCAAAGCATGTGAAATATTGATTAGACTGTATTTTGTGCTTTGTGTATGCAGCACTTTCCCTTCTACTTAATCGAGCTTTATTCTGTGTGCAATTGTGATGAAAATTCCAGTCTGTCTGCTTAATGATCAATTATAATTGTCTTGATCACATCTATAGTCTATCAAATATACCCAAAGTATATTATTTCAGTTCTCATCCCCAGATGTCCCCTGTTATTTCAAAAAATGCTTAAAAAAATAGAATAAGGTTCCAACGGGAAAATAGTAAATTAAGCTTATATGTCTTTCACAAATGCTAGGAAAGTTCACAGAGACTTCAAGGTATTTTCAGGGCTGTTTCTTTCATGAAAACTTATTAATGTTATATATGTAGGATATCTTTTTATATTATTTAATAAAGTGAATGTATGTTTTTGCTTCATCAGAAATCTCTTCGTATAAATTTTTAAAATTGAACTTTGCACTGGAAAATTATTTTTCCAAAAGAACAAAATGTAATTTTATTTCAGGAAGATTGACCCACATAAACATCAATGATTTTTTAAATCGGGGATTATAAATTATTATAAATCATTAGTTCAATTTTCAAATCCTTCGTAACAATGTACTGTTGTATTTTGGCTAGAAAGGGAATCAGTAATGTAAATATTTGAAAGCTTTAAACAAATTTCTGAGAACATGGAATCTCAGAAAAATACAGCAATTTTATAATTTTTTTTCCCTAAACTATACTCCTTGGTTTTTAGCGTTTATGGCAGTAAAGTACTGTCATTATGATAAATAGACATATCCCCTGCACAGGCCTACAAGTTGTTACTTGGTCAATGATAGCAGGTTCACAGACGTTTTCTGATGGTATAAAAACTGCATTCCTGCTTGCTTTAAGGAGACAATGTCACGCCATTTTCACTACATGAACTTTTTTTTTTTCTTTAACAATTAGGTCTTATCTCCCCACCTCCAACTCATTAACGTGGCAGATGTGGTGGCCTTACTTTATTCAACTTCATTCAACAAACATTTTCTGAATACTTACTATGTACCAGGCACTGAACTTGGTCCTAGGAACATAAAAATAAAATAAGCAGTCTCTGTAGGACTTTCACAATTTAGTGTGCAAGATAGTGTAAATACTCATTCTCATAGTGTTCACCACCCGTGCTAACTGGATTAAGTGCATGGTTGTAAATAGGGGTGACACGTAACACGAAGCTGAGGGACAGGGATGGGGAGCGCGTCCTACAGGAGCTGATGGCTCCGGGAAGTCCTGAAGGAGCAGGATGTGTAAGTGCAGCAGGTGGAGGGGGCTGTGGTAGGGTCGCTCCAGTAGGCCTGGGCCCTTCCCAGGTCGTACTGATGACTGTGCCTGTAAATTGTCCCTCTGCTTCTGTCAGTGACAGTGAAGGTGGCAAGTGAGATCAAGGGATGCGTTAAGGAGGCACCAGTGTCGCTCAGCCCCGGTATTCCCTAGAGCTGCTCTCTCTGAAGTTTCTAGTTTTCCAAGCTGAAGACCAGAGGATTAGGTTTTTGTAGACTATGAGCAAATAGTAACTGGTCTTCATTAATTATTTTTATTTTGACTTTATAACCTGTGGTCTGAGCAAATTAATAATGGTGAGAAATAGTTGAAAGTTCGTGCTTTCTTCATGTAATTCCACGTATTTTGGCACAGTTGGCTAGCAGAGTGATAACACTGGTCTCTAGGATATGAGATTTTCCTGCTATAGCAGGGAATGTTCCAAGCCCACTAGGCTGTCCCCTAAAATAATTCCATATGCAATTCCCCATTTCTGAAACTGATAGCAGAGAAACATATGTGATTGTGTCTATTTAAGGAAAATGTAACGCTGAGTTTGTGAAAACTTAGGTGAAATCAAATTTTATAGAATTTATATAGAATTGTCGTAAGATGCAATAGAGACATCTGGTATTTAAAATACCTTTCTGAATCTACAACATTTTGTAAAATGAGTTTACTACAGTATATGTGTTTTTAAAGTTTAACTCATTATCTATACCAACATATACTTGGTCCAAAAATGTATTTATTATACATGGGAAGCACTCTGTGAACTTTGTGAAGGGATAAATAAGTAAAAGGTATAATTATTAGTTGATAATAAGAAAAAGCATTATTCCTCTGTAAAAGTGGTTGCTTAGAAGGGAGAAATGAAACCCTGTTAGTTGAACTAGTAAAAGATAGTAAAACTATCGATTCTTGTTTTATTAAGGTAATCTAGCATTGTATACTGATTAATATTTACTTTTCACAGTTTAATTGTATATTTGAGGATTTTTAAAAATGTATTTGGCATATTATTGTACACCACCTGTAATTTTTTAAGTAGATCAAATATTTTCTATGAGGTTACTTTAAATACTTACACATTCTTGGTGTCAAGAGTTTCAGAGGGAATTAGTACTCGTCAGAGAATAAAATATCTAACCTTGTATAATTTTAAGATATAAAAATTTAAGGCACCTCTGAAATTTGAGTTCTAATTATAGAAGATGTTGAGTAAAATATCTGCTGAGTCACTTCAAACCAAGTAGTTTTCAATGTCAGATATAAGACATACTCAAATATTTTACCAATTGTTCTGGCAATTAATGACCCCAATGAATAAAATATTATAGACCATCTTCACATATTTTTTAAAAAATTAAAATAAATAATTTCCAAATATGGAGTGACAACTTAAAATACAATTTTACAACATGAGATTTATAAAAACTTTTTTTTTTTTTTGAGACAGAATCTCACTCTGTTGCCCTTGGTAGAGTGCCATGGCATCACAGCTCACAGCAACCTC